CAGAGGCTTGAACTTCTCCCAGAAGCTACAATAAATCCTGTCCCACCAAGCAGAGCTTTCCTCTTGTCCAGAGATGGCAAATGTCCGTGAGTTCATGCTCTTCTCCTACAACTGATTAATTATCCTCCCAGTTGGGTTATCACTGGGTCCTGTGGCTGCTGCTGCCATTGGACCTCACTGTGCTTTATCAGGAAAGATCCATATCTTTTGTTCCCACACATGTGTCCCCACCTTGAGGCTGGGCCTTGCCTGTCGGACTGGGCAGAAGGGACCCCCCTGTGATCCCCTCTCACCTCAGCATCCCTGCTAAAAACACCATCCCATGCAAATTTGGGTCCTCTCAGCCTCCTCCATCACTCACCCCCTTGGCCACCACCCCGGAGCTGCCAGTGCAGCCGTCGGATGTCTGCTCTGCTGACTCCATATAATGCAAGTTTTACAAACGAAAATGTCACATGGCCCTAAATTAAATACTTTGGTGAAACCCATTATAATGCAGCAGCACAATTAGCTTTATCAGCCAGCCCAGAGTCATGCCAAAAACCAAAGCCGACTCACTTGACAGGAGCTGCCATCCATGAAACCAAGCTAACGACCTTAATTATATTTTTAGCTTCTAATTTTTGGCTGACAGTATCCCCAATTACCCAGCCCATAATTTGTGCAGGGACTGCGATCAGCCTTACCTGGTCTGTAATTCCCAGGGTCAGCCCTTTTATCCCTTTTAAATATTAGACTCCCACTGGCTGCCCTCCAGCCCTCTGGAATTTCCCCAGGGTTTTTAGTGTTAAAAATTAGCAGCGGAGCTCCTGGGCAGGCTGCAAGTCCCTTCCTGAGAGGGTCCTGCCAGGAACGCCTCTCCTGAGAAAACCCAGTGGTGTCGGGGATGGGGACAGGGAGTTGTTCCCACCAGGTTAAAGCTCCATGTAATCTGATCAGCTGCTCTGACCAAAGATTGCTCTTTGACTCATCTCCCTTATCCACCACCCACGCTTTACACCTCAGCACACAGCCCTGGCACTGAACCCTCCTTTCCCTGCTCCTTCCCTACGCATTTATAGGGTTTTATCCTCGCTTCCACGCCAGCCCTCAGCCAAGCCAGCTCTCTTCCTGTCTGTCTGTCCTTGCTCTCCAGCTGGCTACCAGGTTTGGGGAGCCAGCCCTGAGCACAGCCTGGTTTGTGGTAATGCTTCCCTTTCCTGATCTGTGCCAGGTTTTGGCAAGGAGGCTCTTGCAGCATCACCATGATGATGAATAGGGACACCTCTGGAGCCTGGGTCACCCTGAGTCTCACCACAGTTGCTGTGAGGGGCAGACCCTTGGCACAGACACTGGTGGGTGCTGAGCACCCTTGGGATGATGCCCTGCTGCAAGCCTGTGGGGTGTTGGCAGGATAAGGTGTGAAGGGAGGAACAGAGCAGTGTGGGAAGTTTGGGGGAATCTGAACCCCACCAGGCACTGGGGGCTGGTGCAAATGGAGGTGGTGGGGACTGGGCAGGAGCCAGCCTGGGGCTGTGGGGCAGCACCCCTACATGAGGCCACATGGAATTGTTCAAGGCCAGGTTGGACAAGGCTTAGAGCAACCTGGTCTAGTGGAAGGTGTCCCTTACCATGGCAGGGGGTTGGAACAAGATGAATTTTAAAGTCCATTTCAACCCAAACCATTCCATGGTGCTGTGATCCCCCTTGGCCCTTGGCCTGGCTGGAGAAGGCAGGGCTGGAGTGGCCAGCTGGAGGATTTTCAGGCTGCAAAGGCAGCCAGAGCCCCAGCACCCAGCAGGAGCCGGGCTGGGCTGGCCAAGGGTGCCATCTCCTGGGGACAGACCCACACAGCCGGGCCCAGCATCGCACCCGGGTGCAGGAGTGGGGAGCTGGAGCTGCACCCCGAGGCTCCCCGTCCACCCAGGCACTGCCAGCGCTGCCGTCGGCTCCCGGCCGGGGTGCTGCAGGCAGGGCAGGCAGGCAGGGCGGCTGGAAACGTGGCCACAGGCACACTGTGGTGGTTCTTCCCGAGTGGGATGGCCACGGCATGGCCACAGCTCTGAAACGATGTGTGGGTGCAGATCCTGCACGGACACCAGGCATATCCTCATGGATCCGTCTGTGCACTGGAAACCCAGGCAGTGTTGGTGGCTGTTTGCACCAGCAACCCCGTGAGCTTGGTCACACAGTGGCTCTGTTTGCCATGAGACATTGGTGGCAGTGGCAGGACAGGGATGACGGTCGGGCAGAGCCCAGGGGAAGGGCACATCCTGATTCCAGAGCGTCTGAAGGGAATTAGGGTGACAGAAAAGAGTCCTCAGCAGCTGTGCTCGGAGCCATCTGCACCCAGCCCAGCCCTGCAGTTGGCAGTTTCGACCCTAAAGGGCTCCTCTTCCCCTTCCTCCCCTCATGGCCCCTTTTTTCAGGTCCCAAAGGGAGCATGTCTGTGAGCAAATGCCTTGGCCGAGGTGCAGGGACTGCAGAAGGCAGATGGGCTGGGGGGAGGCTGGGAGGAAAATATCCTGGCAAAGCTGCTCAAAGGGAAGGCAAAGAACTCGCCAAAATTTTCAGAGCCAAACATTATCCACCCTGTCTGCCTGTTACCTGCACCTCTCCTCACAGCACTGCCACTGGGGCAAGACCCCAGAGGAAAAATACATTTTATTATTGGGACAAACTGGGTTCTATCATCCCAAGCAGACTATGGCATCTCTGTAGCCATGAGCAGATGGGCACTGAAGGATGCAAATCAATGTGGGGGGATGCAGACAGGATGTTGGGGGATGCCAAGCCATGCAGACGAATGCATAGGGATGCATTGCACTGAGAGGATGCATGGGGAGCTGCTGATTGATACTCTGGGGAGCCAGTGAACACAGCAAAGGAAAGGTTTAACTCAGGAACCAGGAGCAGGGGGCTGGCAGCTGCTGCCTGATCCCCTGATGAGCACAGAGACAACCCCGGGGAGGGCAGAGAAGCCACCACCTTGGCTGTGAGAGGGCAGCTCACAGGGGACCATGTCTGGAGGTGTTTGAGAGCCACACTGCAGCCCTAGGGGCTGTGGGAGGGGTGATGCTGTTGGGGGCACAAAGGGTCAGACCTTGGGGCACATGGCCGAGGAGACGGGGCTCCAGTCCAACACACACCAAGGATTCTAAAGCAGAAACCACACTGCCGGATCCCTGCTCAGCGAGGAGGGACAAACCACCCCCAAGTGCTTCTCACTTCCCTCTTGAAGGTCACCAGGGTGGAAACTGCAAGTCTCTGGCTGCTATTTACAGAGGTGAGTTTCCCCTGCAAAACCCTGAGAGCTGGAGGGCTCGGGCCATTGCTCCAGGGCCATTGTTCAGGGGCCATGCTCTGCCACACTCAACCAGCCCAGGCAATGCCAAAATCACAATTTCCTTCTCCATCAGCTTTATCTTTGCATGGAAATGGGCCACAGGCTCTGCCCTCTGCCCAGGCACAGCATGAATGGGATGACTCTGCACATGGACAGCCACCAGCTGCCTGCAAAGGTGCATTTCCCCCCCAGCCCTTGCACCACACAACCCCCCTTCCAATGCCTCTGCCTTCCACTCCCTCCCAGGACACTCCCCAAATGTTCCTAGTGGGAGACTCAAACCCAGAACAATCCCACCCCTTTCACCAGATGCACAGCCACACACGAGGCACAGTGCTGGAGTTGCAGAGTCCCTCTGGCCACGGTGCCTCCTCTCCTGGTCCTCACTCCAAGCCCTGCAGTCCATGGGATGGTGCTGATGCTGCTTCCGTCCCTCCCACAGGATCCAGGATATGATGGGCCACATCCAACCATGACCTGCTGTGTTCCTCTGCTTTTGGCTTTGCTCCCTGTGAGCAGGTTCAGCTTCTGATGTCCCTACAATGGACACAGCAGGAAAACATCCTTCTGATGAGTTGCACCTCGCCGTGGCAAGCACAAAGTGGGAGTTTTTGAACCGAACAGAAAAACCCTTGATGCTGCTCCACTGACATTTATAGTAACAGATATTGCTGTTTCCTTCCTCATTCAGCAGTTTCTGCAGAAAGGTCCCACTGGACTGAGCTGAGTCACTGTTCCACTGTGCTCCCAGTGCCCTGTGCCCCTTCCCTGCACCACAGACACAGCACAGCCCTGCCCAGCACCTCTGCAGGAAACAGGGAGAATCCTCTGGAGGCTTCCAGCTGCACAGAGGTGGCTCTTTCCCACTGTGAAACCAAGCTGTGTTATTCATGCTTTGTGCCTTGAGCCCAGTCAGGACCTTGGTTGCTCAGGCAGGACATAGCACAGCTCTCCTGCCTCCCAGCCATGGATGCACCAGAGAAAATCAGTATTTAAAGTACCTTATTGGGGCCCACAAGATGAGCTGTGAGCAGGAGACAAAACAGTGGTGTGGGCTGACCACCCTTTGGACAGGGAAAGGATGGATGCCCCAAGAGATGCTTGGTCCCCACAGCTTCCTCCTCCACAGAGCAAAACATCCTTCTCTGTGGAATAAAACATCGTAAGGGCACAGGCTGCCCAGGGCAGTGGTGGAATCACCATCCCTGGAGGGATTTAAAAGATATGTAGATGTGGCACTTGGGGACATGGTTAGTGGTGAATGTGGCAGTGCTGGGTTAAGATTGGACTCGATCTTAGAGGTCTTCTCCAAACCTAATAATTCTGGGATTCTATTGCAGCCAGGTGATGCAAGGGCTGGTGCTGCAGAGCCCCTGTCCTTCCAAGCCCCTCTGAAAAATGGCTGCCTGGCCCAGGACACCTGCCCTGCTCCCGGTGACACATCAGCCCGCAGTGTCCCTCCCACCCTGACCCGCACTCCCGGCAGCCCAGGAACCCCGACGAGCCAATGCAACGCGCTGGGTGTGCAGCCGATTTGCATGGAAGGGATAAGGGGAAACCCCAGGAAATGCACAGCCCAGGCATTAATCAAATCGGTCTCTAATAATAAACCCCCCAAGCCATGCAGGGGCCCGGGGCTGGAGCTCGGGGTGCCATGGCAGGAGCTGAGGGGGATTAGACACCGCGGGAGAGTCAAACGTGAGTCACCCCCTGGAGGGGCTGCACGGGGACATGGGGGTGAGGGGCTGGTCTGTGCCAGGGCTTGGGGCTTGGCCACGTTCCCAGAGTGCCAGCAGGGAGTGGAGGGTCTCCTCAGGTCCTTGCTGGGGGAACAGAGCCACCACAAAGGGCTCCCACCCTGCTGAAGTGATTGGTGCTGGGGGGGCTGGAGGTGGAATCACAGAATGGTTTGGGTTGGAATGGATCTCAAAGCTCATCTCGTTCCACCACCACCCCCCACCCCGCCATGGGCAGGGACACCTTCCACTAACCCAGGTTGCTCCAAGCTCCTTCCAACCTGGCCTTGAACTTCCAGGGAAGTGTGGAAAACCACAGCTTCTCTGGGCAACCTGTGCCAGTGTCTGACCACTCTCACAGGGAAGAATTTCTTTCTAATAACTGATCTAAATCTACCCTCCTTCAGCCAAAAGTCATTCCATCTTGTCCTATGGTCAGTTGATGCTTGGGATGCGGAATCCATGGGGGAATTCAGGGTGCTGGTCTCTAATGGGTGGAGGGACAGAGGGGCAGATGCACCTGGCTCTCCTGGAAAACCCATGGCTGCAAAGCCTGGCTGCACCATGCTGGGAGCACCATGTGCATCTTGGGGGTCTCCAGGGAGGGGAGCTCAACCATCAGGCAGGATTTGTCCTAGATAGGGTCAAACATCTCCTTGGACCTGCCCTCGGAGCAGCTGGGAAGGAGATCCACTGCCTGCATCCCCCCGGCTTTGACACAGCCCCAAACCTCTGTTTCCCATGCAATTATCCCTTGGGAAACCCCACCTTGGGTCAAGGATGGCTGAGGCTCACTGCCAGGGTTCACTGCCATCCCCAAGGACTCCCAGCATCCCCAGGGCTTCCTGTAACTCCCAAGGGCTTTTTGCCATCCCCAGGGATCTTGTAGTTTTTTTCTCTCTGGGTATAAAGTATCTTCAAAGAGCACTGGAGGAAACCACCTCCCTCTGCCCTGGGGATATCTCCAGCCAGCTCGACAGAAAGTCATTATTTAATTTTATAGCAGTGTTAATTGAACAACTGGGAAGATAAGGCCAGCATCCCTGTGCTGAGAGAGGATTTATCCCTGGGAATGGGAGGGTTTTACCTGTGTTGCCTCAGGTAGGAGCCGGCCGGCAGCGGAGGACGCGCATCCACAGCCCCTCTGCAGGGTGGGAGATGGCAGGACAGACGGACACGCAAAGTGCCCAACCTCTGCACACTCCTGAATTCTAGAGAGAGAGGAGACATCCTGGCGGAGCGCAGGGGATTTTCTGGATAAAATCCTGAGCCTGGCTTTGCCAAGGCAGCGGCGCAGCCTTTGGGCACCTGGGGGCCAATTCCGCGCCTTCGGAGAGTTTTAACCTTTCTGGGCTCCGTCAGCACCGGCATCACCCACTGGTGCAGGAAACAGCTGCGGCTCCTGGCACAGCTCTGCTGAGGGATGTGGTGTCCCACGAGCCCTCTCAGTCAGCAAAGAGCACATTTCCACCATGGCTGCCCCCGTCCTGGGTTTGAGCTTCCTGCAGCTGCTCCGTGGCCGCAGACCCCGCACATGGCGTTAACGCGGCACGGTGTTCATCAAGTGTAAGTTGTTGACCAGATTTTTGGGCTGCTGAGGGCTGCTCATGCCTCGTTTCTGTGTCTTTGGTGTCACACCCAGCGCACACGGGCACTGGGAGCACCGTGGCAGGGGATGGAGGGGCAAACAGCCCGTCACAGGGACAGGAGCACCATCCCAGGTGGCACTAAAGCTCTCCTGGAGACACGTCCCTCCTGCTGCTTTGGGGAGCCTTACACATCAGATGGGGTTTCACTGTGATGCCATAACACCCAAGAGAGATGTCAGAAATGACACACGAACCACCTCGGAGCCACGGAGGAATTCAGAAGTTTCCAGAACTAAAATTTGTTTCAGAAAATGTCACCAGTGCTCACTCGGGTCGTGTTTCTGGTCCCCCTGTGAGCGATCCCTGCCCTAGAAAGGGATGAGGTGGCTGCAGAGCAGCCCCGTGGTGGCCACCCCGTACCTACCTGTGCCTCTCATTCCGCAGCCATGGATGGGACACGCGTGGGGCGGGATGCCATGAACAACTGCACCGACCAGGAGTACTGGGACACCCTTGTTTCCCAGTGCATCCCCTGCAGCCTCGTGTGTGGCCGGCCCACAGCCAGGAGGTGTGATGCCGTGTGCGGTGAGTGCCGGCGGGGCAGTCACAGGTACCACGGGGCTGTTCTGGGATGGAGCAGGCAGGGATGGGGCAAAGCTGGGAGGGAGGATCAGACCCCAGGATGAACCCCAGGGTAGGCTCTGAGCCAGCTCAGCTTAGCAGAGCTTTGGGCCAAAAATGCAGGACTTTTTGGCTCAAAAAATGAGCCAAAATGTCACAAAAATGCAACGGCTTCCCAGCAATGGGCTGGGGCTGATATTGGCTCAGCACAGACCAGGATGGAGTTGCCCACTACACTACTTTCTCCTTTCTGGGGTCACAGGGCTGCATTAACACTGGTGTCCCCCACTGGTGTCACCACACCCTCCAAAGGCAGGGCCTGGAGAGCCATCAGGTTCAGTGCATGTGGATAATGATAAACCCAAGCTGTAGGTCTGTGAGGCTGAATCGTGGGCCCTGAGCTGGTACAGGCTCTGAGGTGTCGTGTAACAGGTGGGGAGGAGGAAAAGGGACAGATGCACTTTGCACCCAGACCCTGTGCAGTGCCCCTTCCCTCCCTGGTGAGCCACAGTCTGGGATGGCTCCACCCTGTCCCAGGGCTCAGGGGACACAGCCCTGCACACACAGCCACAAGTCACGTCTCTCTGTTGAGGACAGAGATGCCACCCCCAGCATTCTGAGCCAGGGCTCAGGCAGGTTTTGGTATGTCCCAAAAAGCTGTGCAAGCCCCAGGGCAGCAGCAGCTCTAAGAGCAGCAGCCAGGAGCTCCCAGCTGCAGGTGGGTACAGTTGGCTGCAACCATTCCCTCCCTGAGCAGCTGCCAGCAGATGCCTTTCCCCAGTATTCCCCACCCAGCCAAACACCACCCCAAATCCCATGGATCTGTCATCCTGCCAGTCCTGGAGAGGTTGTCCATGTTTATGGCAGTGCATCGGAACCGTGAGCTTGGGCTCGTCCTCTCATGAATCTGGGTGCCCAGGGGTGCTGGGAGGGTGGTTTGGGAGCCTTGTGTGGGAGGATGTGCTGAGGGCATTGTGTTCATCTCCCTCCTCTCCTGCAGAGTCCATGGACTGCAACAAGACCCCTGGATTCTACTACGATGACCTCGTGAGAAGCTGCATCGAGTGCAGCACCATCTGTGGGCAGCACCCCAAGGAATGTGCCCCGACCTGTGAACGTGAGTGTGATGGGAGTGGGACCTGGGGCTGGGCTGGAAGAGGAGCCGGGTTACAGGACTGAAGTTGGGGAAGGGGCAGCAAAACCCACCCTGCTCTTTGTCCTGGGGGGGGGCTGCAGTGCCTTTTCCCTGTCGTGTGCCGGTGATTTACAGGCCTGTCAGCCCCACCAGCCAGGGCAGGACTGGCAGCTGCAGATCCCACCTGGCTGAGCCGCCCCCAGCCCTCAAGGAGGGGGAGTGAGAAGCGACTGGTAGATCCCAAGACCTACAAGTCCCACACGGGGGTTGAGACAGTGAAACGATCCCTGGAGGTGGGGGAAGGCTGCGCACGGGATGTGGGAAGGATCTCCTCTATCTCACCCTGGAAGAGAAATGCCAGCAGACAGAGGGGTACAGAGCTGCCCTCAGATTCTTTCCCAGTGGAGAGCACGAGTGTTATCAAAGGTCAGTGAGGGAATCACGTACCCGAGGGGTGTCTGAGCTCACCCACGTCTGCCTGACCCGCAGCCTCTCCCCCGTCGCCCGCGGCCGTGCTGGAGCAGAAGGCGTGTGCGGAGCAGGAGCCGTGGCTCGTGGTGTATCTGCTGCTGGGGCTCTGCCTCTGCGCCCTCATCTGCTCCCTGCTCCTGGGCTGGACACACCTACGCAGGAAGGGAGAGATGGGCTCCTGCCAAGCCGGTGCTGGGACCTGCCACTGCAGGGAGGACTCTGCCAAAGGTGGGTGCTGGATGTACTGGGGGGACTGGGAGAGGGTGGTGAGCAGGCTCAGGCTCCCAGGCACTGCTGGAGGGGCAGGAAACAGAGCCAGATCCTAAGAGGGAGAGGGGGATAAAGTAAAGCCAGTGATGGGCAATGCCATTCAGCCTGAGTCTGGAAGGGGAGCAGGACTGGACCCCTGTGCCCCAATTCTCCTCCATAATCCCCTTCTCAGTCACTCCCCAAGAAGTCCCAGGCACACCTTCCTGCTGCCACATGGGGCTGGAGCTGCACCATCCACCAGCACCTCTTCAGTCTCCATCCGGAAGCCAGCCCTCTTCCAAAATGAACCACTTATCCCAGGAAGACCCAGTTTTAGCTCTGGAGCCAGAGGGGCTTCACAAGTCCTTGCATTAAGGGGAAAAAATAGTGAAAGGATAACGTGGAGGAATCCAACATGGGAAAGGAGTTTTTATTCTTCCTCCTCTTCTCCCCTGCCTTTCCAAAAAAATTGTCTACTTACCTATTTCTCTACACACACAGTGCTGGGACCTGCCTGTCCTCTCCAGTTCCAGGCCCAGCTCCTCGTGGGTTTTAGTGCAGCCCTTTGGAGCACTCCTTAGGTAAAAGCTGCTCCTAAAAACCCCTCAGCTAACACAGTTTCTTTGCAGATCGGCTGGTGGAAGCGGGCAGCGTCGGTGAGGGATTCACTGGCAGCAGAGCCCCAGAGCCAGTGGAAACCTGTGGCTTCTGCTTCCCTGGACATGGCTCTGCTGTACAAGAGACCAAATCATGCCACAGCACCTTGTGTCACGCTGGGGAAAGAGCTGCTCCCTCCTACACCGGGATCTGCAGCACGGGAAGCGCTGGGGCCACTCCCAGCCCTGACGACGGCCACTTCAAGTTTTTTTGTTCTCCTTCCCAAGAGAAGACACCCATGGTGTGACCACAGTAGATGTTCCTGCACAGGATCAGAATGGAGGGGTGCTCCCTCTGCCCCCAAATCACAGTTGCTTCACCCTCTGCTGCCAGTGATTGGAACAGCTTCTACCCAGACTGGCCGACCCAGCTCAGGCTTTGCCAGGAGCTGAAGGATAAAGTGAAGGCTGGAGGTTGCACAGGGCTGTTTGCTCCCACTCAGGAATTTAAATTCTCTTATTCTTGCGCACTCCCAGTGAGTGACAGAAGTCACTTCTCATTTAGCAGCACCTGACTTCATCCTCCCTCTTGACCTCTGCAGACCCTCCCGTGCCTCCCAGCCATTGGGAGGGATGTCTCGTGGGGGCTCTTCATCCTGGTCCCACCATCAGTGACACTTTGTCCACCAGCCCCCACCAGTCCCCATGGAGAGCTCACCTTTCCCTGCTTGGAATCTCTGCTGTGCACCAGAACAATTTACAGCAGAGCTGTAAATACGTCAAACATGGACTTGGATCCAAGGAGTTACTGGTTGAAGCTACAAGGATCTGGGGTGGAAAGCTCCACTGCCAGCTTCCAGCACTGCTTGGGAGGGGAGAACAGGTCAGTGCTGAAGGTGAGGCTTTACCTCATGACAGGACATGAGCAGCTGGGACAGGCATCAAAATCCTCAGTGGAATTTGGTTTAAATGTGGAAGTTCATCCAAGGCTGAGAACTTTCTAGAACACTGGATCTACGTATGTTTGCTTTGGGTTACTCCAAATAGCTGTTAAAAGTGAGGAACCAGTTGCAGATTGAGCTGCTTCAAGGGAATATTTTTATCTGACCTGGCTTTGAAAGCTACCATAGAAAAATAAGGATTTCAACATATAACTTGAAGTTCTCATCTCAAATAAAGGAGAGTGTAGCAATTTTTTGCTTGGTGAGGAATTGCTCTTGGTAGGAGCTCATCCATTCCACTTTCTCAAACTAAAACTTCAAGTTTGGAAGAATAAATGAGTCAATATATGTACAAACTGGGAAAGCTGGAAAAAGCACGAGCAGAGAGTTATAAACAGACTCTGTCCCTTCCATATTATATATTTCTTTAAATGTAAATGCTTTTTTCTCATTAAAAAAGGCATCACTTGGGAGGGTGAGCCTTTCACTGGTCACCTCCCACACTCTCTCAGTACCAACAGTCCATTGGCCTTCCAACCTCCAGGCCTCCTCTATCTCCCACTCTCTCAATGTGAAGACCCTCTTGGCCTCCCCTCTCACATTGCCACCTTCCCTTTCCCCTGGGGCCTCCAATTCCACAGCATCATCTTCCATAGCCTTAGCTCCCTCCTGTGGAGTCTACTCCAGCAGGCTCTGCTCTCATGCCATCAGTTCCTGTGGTCTCCAGACCTGTGGTTTCCTGCCCCACAACCTCAGCTCACAGAGTCTCCAACACCTTGGCCCCAAAACCTATGGCATCATTAGCATCCCAATTTCTCTAAACCTCCAAAAGTCTTCCAGCCCTAGAAGTTACCTTGCCCTCCACCCTTGTTCAGCCTCAGCACTCCCTTAGCCTCAGTTCTTCCTCATTCTGCATCTTTGCATAGATTAATCTCTCCTTCAGCCTCCCCAGTCTCTCAGTTTCTGTTCCAGCTCAGCCTCACTCTTTCTTGCCTTTCCACCATCTCCTGCTCTGCTGTTTGTCTCCTACACCCTTCAGTCTCCCCCTGCATTCTTGCTCAGCCTCTGCTCCTGCTCTCTGTCAGGCTCCTGTTTGTGCTCAGACCTCCAAAGCCTCTTGGTTTCTCCTCCCCCTCCGCTCCTGCTGTGTCCTGATCCCTCTGTGCCTCCTACAGCACCACGTCCCCCACCCTCCCTGGGGGCTCCACCAAGCCTGAACCCTCTCCTCAGGTGGAGCCTCCCCAGCACCAACAGCGTCTCTTCCTCCTCTTGGTTTCCCTTCCCTGCAGCCTGTCCCCCCATCAGCCGCTGCAGGGTGAATCCCAGAATGGTTTGGATTGGAAGGGATCTTAAAACTCATCTTGTTCTGCCCCCTGCCCTGGCAGGGACACCTTCCACTAGCCCAGGTTGCTCCAAGCCCCGTCCAACCTGGCCTTGGACATTTCCAGGGATGGGGCAGCCACAGCTTCTCTGGGTAACCTGTGCCAGGGCCTCACCAACCCTACAAGGAAGAATTCCTTCCCAATATCCCATCTAACTCTGCCCTCAGTCAGTGGGAAGCCATTCCCCCTTGTCCTGTCACTCCATGCCCTTGTCCCAAGTCCCTCTCCAGCTCTGTTGGAGCCCCTTTAGGCCCTGGAAGGGGCTCTCAGGTCTCCCTGGAGCCTTCTCTTTTCCAGGTGAACACTCCCAGATCTCCCAGCCTGGCTCCAGCACAGAGGGGCTCCAGCCCTTAGAGAATCTCCCTGGACTCCTCTGGACTCGCTCCACAGTTCCACTTCCCCCTCACATCAGGGCTTCCAGAGCTGGAATCAGTGCTCAAGATGAAGGGGGTTTGCACCTACCTTGGGGAAGCACCAGCACATCATTCCCTTGCATCAGGACTAGGAAAGCTCCAAGCTCTGTGTCCCCTCTGCCCAAGCGCTTCCCAGTGAGGATGGAGGTTCCAGGAGAAGGAAAACCCTCATAAACAGAAGTGGTGCCTCATCACTGCCCCTCCCCAGCAGGGAGCTCCTGTGGGCAGCACTGGGGACACGTGGCTTTAGCCCAGCTCCAGTGGCCTGTGGACCTTCAAGTGTCACCTCCAGGATCCCCCAGCCATGGCTGTGCAAGGAAATTCAGAACCTTATTTAAAAACAGGATTTAAAACCTGAACCCATGCCACTGGTTTTGCAATTAGGGCATTCCTCGAGGATCAAGAAGCATCAATTATTCAAAGGAGGAAGCTTTTAGGGAAGTGTTTGTGCCAGTGAGTGCAGGAGCTCACCCTGCGTGAGCTGGGGTGAGCTGGCCCAGGAGGCCACTCACCTTCTCACACCCAGGCAAAGCCCATGTTGGGACAGGGCTGTTCCTCCTGTCACCAGGTGGCCCAGTGTCCCAGAAATTGGAGAAAACACTCATCAGAAGCCGAGTGCTTCCCTCCTGCCCTGTGAGCAATCTCTCACCATCCCCTCCCTGAGGGAATATAAGTACAGTTATCAGCAGAGAAAAGGTAACACAGAGCACCTTGAACAAAGCAGCAGTGAGAGTAATACACATCCTTCCGTGCTGGAGAACCAAGAGGAATCAATGGATTTGGTATCACATTTGCAGCCATTGGCCAGCAGCTCCAATGGATCACACCTGGAGACATCACTTGCAATACTAGGATGTTGTATGTGTGGAACACAGACAGTTCCAGCTGGGTGAGTCACACTAAATGGAATTAAGGGCACTAATTCTGAGCAGCAAGAGCACCCACCTGGGGTTTAACCAATTCTCCCATTTCTGCTTTTTCCATTGGGCACCAGCATCAGGCAAAGCTTTGGCTACAGTCGAGTGGCTGAGGGTCAAGAACATACACCTAAAGCCATTTTCTGGGTATTTTTGTGCCCCATGTAGGCCTCTGTTCACTGCTGGCAGGTCACAGAACACACAACCACCATGAGCCTGCATCACTGCACCAGCCTTTGTTTCCAGTCGTTTCTGCAGATGCCTCCTCCCAGCACACCCAGCTGTGCCGATATAAAATGTGTCTCAAAGTCAACCCCAAACTGCTCCCTGAGATGAGGAGGGTGAGCAGCTGAAGCAGCAGAGTTGTCACTCGAGGAGGAGGCAGCCTGTCACTGCTGTCTGTCAGCACATCGGGGAGGCTCCGCTTCACTCGTGCTCCACGTTGAGGGAGTTCCAGAGAAACCTCCCGGCTCTCCAGGGAATAACTCAGAACAGGAGCTGCATGGCTGCTTCTGAAGGGATGGAGGGAAAGAGAAGGCTGTGTTTGAGAGAAAGAAAGCAGCATGAGGGGTAGTGCTGCTCGTAAGACAGCAGCTGCTCTTCCATTTTTATAGGAAGAGGGAAAATGCTCTCCCCTCCTCTCCAGAACCTGCGCTGATTTACTGCTGCTGGAAACAGGACTGTGCCTGGTACAATCTGGGGAGGGACACGGAGGGTGGGATGGCAGGCGGGGGGGGGAAGAAAAGAATAAGAGCTTTTAATACACCAGGAATTCTGCTTTTGAAACCAGAAAGAGCCCTGAAAGCTCCCCCTGAAAACCATCTGCGCCGGTGCAGTTGCACAGAGCAGAGCCCCATTCACCAGATGGGCGGGGAGGAAAAAAACTAATGGTGATTTATACATCTGGCCTCATCCCTGAACCGTTTGTTTCTAAAGGCTTAACAAAGCAGCCTGCAGTCGCTCCTGTGGCCGGGCGTGTGCTGTGCAAGAATTCATTAAGAAAGCAGCCAAAGGCTCAGACCCTTCTTAATGCTCCGGAGTCCTGCTCGCAGCCCGCGCGGTGGCACTGCTCCTCTGCTCCACTGCTCCTCTGCTCCTCCTCCGGCTGCAGGACCCGCGGGAGCGCCAATGCAGCAGCCCTGGGAACGAGGAGAGGCTGATCTCGCCCTCCTCTGCAAGCCTGCTGCATTATTAAAAGGTAGCAGAGAGCGTCGTCAGGCATCTGCACGATCCCGCGCCCGATTCCGGGGGGGAAGGAAGGAGGAGCCCCCCCCCCCTCCTGCGGGTGCGCCAGCCATCCGCATTTCTCCAGCCATTTTCCATTCGCGACAGGAACGCTCCGGGTGAACTGTGCGGCCCCCAGTTACAGCTGGGAATTCTCTGAGGCGCGATGGGTCACACGGGCAGGGGACGGGATGGCGACCCCCCCACCACACCCAGCGCTCTGGGGCTCAGCTGGCATTCGAGGTGCTTCAATTCCTTGCTCCTTCCTCCTTCCCCGTGTCAAGCTGTCGCAGAAATCTCCTGATGTTCAAAACCTCCTCGTACTCTTCCAGTCTGTGTGCAAATCAAAGGAATTCCACCGCCCTTTTGTTCAGCTGCTCTTGCAAGATGCTCATTCAAAAAACAAACGTGCTCAATTCCCTTATTTTACTATTTTTCTGTTTGTCAGACTGTGTCTCGGGGAGGTTAGACACGTGTCAGTCATTTCTAGTGCACAGAACCTAAAGGGTTGGACCCATCTATGTTTTTCCACACAGGTAAAAGCCAACGAATGTCTGGCTGGATAGTTATGCAGAGATTAATGACCAGAGAAGCTGCTGCTGCCCCATTCCTGGAAGTGTTCAAGGCCATGTTGGACAGGGCCTGGAGCAACCTGGGATACTGGAAGGTGTCCCTGCCCATGGCAGGGGTGTGGAATGAGATGAGCTTTAAGGTCCAACCCAAACCTTTGTGATTCTGTGATTTTTGGTGTGACTTTTACACCAACTTACACGGTGGCCAACTCTGACTCCTCGCCCTCTCCATAAGGAAGGGAACCAAAGCTATTTTTGCTCTCTCAGCTCTGTTCTGAGTGGTTTCTCTCACAGGCTGCATTTCTACCCCCAGCCCAACCTCCTGAGAGCAAGATCCAGCACACGAGCAGTTACTGCTGGTACCTGGACACAGCGAGGGAGGGGGAGAAAAGGCCCCAGAGCTCCAAGCTACACACACCAACACACAGGCCGTGGTTCTGCAAGAGGAGAAAAGCATGTGAAGAGTTAATCCATGTGGGAGGATACAAGGAACCAATACCAGCCTAGCACATACCATGAAAATGTGTTGTTTACTTAGAGCACTGCAGAAGGGCTCAATAGCAGCAGATCCATCGCTCAAAGCTGCCCCTGCACCGACCGTTCCCAACAGATGGTACATTTTTCAATACTGAGGTTCTCTCAAGTGTCAGATATATATAAATCCACCTTTGGAAGGCAGCAAGGGAAGAAAACAAACCAAAACC